AGGGTTCCGGACTGGCTGCAAGGACATGGAGGCTCAGAGGCCAGGGCTTGGGTGCTAGGTCTGGGTGATGTTGATGTTCAAGCCATGTTCAAGTGCAGAGTTATGCCTCTCTGAGCCCTATCCTTGGCTGGCATCATACTACAGAAATATGTTAGATGAGGGCCCTGCCCTGAGGATACCACTGGAGGCAAGATGGGTAGACAGTGGATTTTTTTGTTTGTTTGTTTGTTTTTTGTTTTTGACACAGCGTTTCACTATGCAGTTCAGGGGGGCGGCAAACTCACTTTGTAGCTCTGGTCGGCCTCAAACTCACGATTCTTCGATTCTTCTGCCTCTGCCTCCTGAGTGCTGGGATTACCAATCTGTGCCACCACACCCTGCTCCAGACAGTGGATCTGAACAGGCCAACATGTGGTTAGGTTTGCGGCTCAGTACCGGACCCACTGTCCCTGCAGTGCCTCACCCCAGGCCAGGTGTCTTCCTTAATGGAGCACGGGGAGGTGCTCGAGGGTGCAAGGTGGCTGATTTGGAAGCCTCCTTCGGGCCCTGGTGACCAAGCTGTCCCTCTTTCAAGGCTTGAGACACCGACTTGAGAGGATGAGGTGGCCTGCACACTAAGACTATGGGTGCGCAGGACCTGCAGCACTGGCAGAAGACAGGCAGCCTCTAGACGTGTGTGCTCCCGCTCCGGCCAGGGTTCTGTGGGGAGGCTTAGACATGAATGGAGACTTGGTAGCCACGCTGCCAAGATACTTGGCAGAAGGGAATTCTTGTTGAGCAGATCCCCAGCTAGGCCAGCGACCGGCACAGCCCATCTGCCTAACAACTCCTGAAGGCAAGTTCTACACAAAGAAGAAAGCCGGCACTGCCCTGGCTTGTGAGGTGGGAAGGAGGGGCAGGCCATGAGTGAGGCAGAGGGGACTGCAGTGGGCGGCGGGGACCTCCCTGGAGAGCATCTACCCTTACCTCCCCTTACCTCCCCAGTCCCCAACTGCACGCACAGTTCAAGGAAAGGCCAGCAGTTACTGGGTGTCCAGCGCTCTAGCCAGCCAGGCTGGGAGGACATGCCTTAAAAAAAGCAGACACCATCCTTGCCGTGGCAAAGTAGGGAGGTGACATTCCTGGGCTGGAACCAAGAGGAGGTAGCACATGAGTCACTGCTGAGGTGTCTGCTCTGGCCTTTTGTGTGCATAGAGGGGGAAGAGGAAGCCAGGAAGGACTTGCTAGTGTGGGGGCTGGAGGAGGAGAGAGGGTGCACATGTACGTGCATTCATGTGCTTTGTACGTGTGTCTGCACATACCTGAGGCCACAACTCTGGCTTCCACATCTTCTATTTGCCCAGACAACCTAAAAATAAGTTATTCTAAGATTCGTTATTTATACACAAAATGCTTGCCCAGCACGAATGCTTTCTACCCACATTTTATCTACAATCAACCTCAAGTTAAAATGAGCCTGAATTATTTATGCATACACAGAATGGCTGGTGGGCAAAAGGCAGACTAGGGCACCTGCCCCGTCAGGCTAGGAAGCCCACAGAAGGATGGTCCCCATGTGGATGACAAGATTGGAGAAGGCATGGATTGATGATCCTGGCGTTGAAGGTGATAATGATAGCTGAAAAAGGACTCTACATGGCCAGGGGGTGACCATCTCACTTTTTACCCACTCAGGATATAGCCGTGGGCACCAGGGCATGCACGGCAGTATGTATTTGCTGGATTTCTTTGTAAGCACTGGGAAAGAGTATACACGTGTGAGACACTGATGCAAACGTGGAGCCAGGTGATTGTTAATTCAGCATGGACAGAAGGTGGTTAAGTGATAGACTGAGCTCAGAAGTCAGCTTAACTAGACAGGTGGCTGAGGGACGCTGATGTAGTTATCAGACTGGAGGGAAGATCAGAACCTTGAGTGAGTGACAGATCAGTAAATCACTTGTTGATACCGGGTAAAGGGGAAGGAAGAGATCAATGGGGGCCCAGTCACAGGTCAACAGATCCATGGCTAGATCCAAATAGGTTAGGCAGAAAGGCAAATAGAAATAGAGGAGGAGAAGGACTGATGCCCAACCTAGAATGCTTGTCTTGTCTTCCATGGAACCTGTGAATACAGTCCCTTATTTGATGAAGGTGCTTTGCAGATAAGATTAGGGCCCTTCCACAGGGAGATTTTCGTGGGATATTCACATAGGCCCAGTCACCGGGCCTGTCACTGTAGGTTCTGGTCTCCCCTGTGGGTTTTTGTTGATGTGTGTGTGTGTGGGGGGGGTGCTGGGGAGCAAACCCAGGACCTTAGCACATGCTAGGCAAGCTCTCTATCACTGAGCTACAGCCCCAGCCCTTCTTTGCAGTCCTTGATCGTGTCAGACTTGTTGCTACCTCCGTGACTTGGTTCTTGCTCTTTGTCTTGTCTGGTCCCTTTCATCACTCAGATCTCGTATCCGATGAGCACTGTTGCCTGCTCTCACGGGAGTACACTCTGTTCTGAGGGCCTGAGTTGAGGCGACAGGATGTCCCAGCTCCTAAGCCTGCACTGGCTGGCACCATCCCCAGCCCAAGTCCCGCCCAAGGTTGCAGGATGGAGCACTGTGCATGAGTCATCGGGCCACAGACACAGTCCTCTTGTTGGAGGGACCTGAGCAGTTATGTTGCGGCTGACTCTGAGGCCAGTGGCCCAGGCGAAAGGGAAAGTTAGGAATTTTCCCAAGTTCTTAGGGATCACACTAATCCAGGAGGGAACTGGGAAGTGGAGGAGCAGGAGGTAGGCCGTGTGCATGACATTGTCACCTCTGCCAGGACTTCCTCATCTTCCAGCTGAGCTAGGCCAGGCTGCGAGGAGTACATGGCACAGCCATGGCACGGCCAGGGTCCTGGCAGAGCTAGTGTCAGGCAGCTCCTGTCTCCTGGACCTCACCACTATCCACCTCTCGTCTAAGGGCGGCTGCTCTGTGCCAGCTGAACTGCTGCCCTGTGACAGCCAGCACGCCTCCAGATCTGTGGAGTGAAGAAGGGCACAGGGTCAGGGTTCTGGGATGTGGGCAGGCCTGGACGCAGGATGGGCAGCCAGCGGACTAGCTAGAGGGGCAGGGCTGGAAGGAGTACCCCAGGCAGAGCCAGGATGGGTATGCCACTGTCCTAGGCCCTCTAACAAAGTGCCACCAAAGGAATGGCTGACAACTGAAAATTCTCCAGCTGTCATGGTCGAAAGTCTGAAATCTAGGTGCTAACAAGCTTCGCTCCCTCCAAAGCTTTTGGGGGAGACTTCCCTGCCCTTTCCAGTGCCTGGCAGCCCCAGGTTTCTTTGGCTCACGGCAGCATCACCAGGGTCTCTGCCTCCATCTTCCTAAGGTCCTCATCCCTCCAGGTTTATGTCTTCACATGGCTGTGCATCTGTATTTGCATCTAAATTTTCCTTTTTCTTTGCAGGCCTGGGAATTAAACTCAGGGGTTTGCACATGCGCAGCAAATGCTTCGCTACTTTGCCGCACTCTCAGCCCTTTTTATGGCTTCATTTTGAGACGGGTTCTTGCCAAGTTGTCCAGACCGGCCTTGAACTGACAGTCCCCCCTGCTTCAGCCTCCCAAGAGGCTGGGATTATAGACATACACTGCACCACTGCAGCTAGCTCAAAATTTTCTCCGTTACAAGGATACCAGTTGTACTGGATTAAGAGCCACTCTCATGACCTCAGGTTAATTCTATTAAATCTTCAAAGGCCTTGTTTCCAAAGAAGATCACCTTCGCAGGTCCTAGAGGCAAGGACTTCAACACACCTCCCTGTGTGTGTGCAGTGGGGACGAAATCAAACCATAGCAGCGGGCAGAGGCTCGGAAGGGCAGGTGCACAGGGCTGGAGCCTGTCACTTCTCCCCAATCTGCACCTCTTCCCTGGGTACCTACGGCCCTTCCACCTGCCGGGCACAATCCTACCTCCAGACTCTGCTCCAGGGCTCCTGCTCTCTGACAGCTTTTCTCCCTCACTCTGCAGCTCCTCTGATATGGGTGCCTGCATCCACAGTAGGGCCCTTTGGTCCTCCCTGTGGTGCCCAGTGGGCAGCTTGTCCCCTAGAAGCCCTGAATCCAGCCCCTTAGCTAGTTAGAAATTCCCTCTGCACCATCCCTGACTTCTCACCTGTGCTGGAATGTCCCCACGAGAGGGCATGTGACACCTTGGAGACAGAACTATTGAACATAAACAGCCCTGACTGGAGGACGGGTTTCCTTGCTGCACCTCCCAGGGGCTCCATCCTGCTCCATGGAGCCCATTTGGCCACATCCAGGCCAGGGCCACAGAGGAATGCAGCTCACAAAGGCCCCTGGGGCCCTGCAAAAAAACCCAGACCAACGTCTCCCTTATCCACCTGCTGCCAGTGTCAGAAATGGCACCATTAGCAAGTCTGACAGCATCTATTCCAGATGAGGGTGACTGCCCACCCCCCGGGGGGTGGGTGGGGAGAGGCTGCCTGAGGAGCTGAGCTGGGACTGGCTCCAGAGCCTGGCAGCTTGGTGACATCTCACTCATGTCCTAGGGGAGACCTGTCCCCCCCTCGGGCACAGGAGGGGCTGTTCTGGGAGCTTGTCTAGAGGCAGCAGGCTGCAAGCTGAGGGGAAGTGGAGGCAGCCCTGCCAGCCTGGAGTGACAGAAGAGGTCCTGAGGCCCCAGGATGCGCGCTGAGCTCTGCCTTTTCCTCTTCCCCTCCCACCTTCCATTGTCCTATGCCTTCTAGCTGGAGCTGGCCCTCCCGCACACTCCCAGTGGCGGGGCTGTTGGTGACCTTTGGACCGGGGAAGCTCTGGGGCCTCGGGGCCCCACACCCAGCCCTGCGCTCCTTCCCAGAGCAGGGTGAGGCCCAGAGCTGTCACTGCTCAGCCCAGGCGGGGCAGTCCCACAGGGTCCCCAACCAGCCAGTCCTGTTCTACCCTTTCTCCAGGGGGAGGAGCTAGGGCTCCCAGAGGTAGGAGGTAGCCGGGAAGAGGGCAAGGTGCTGCCGCTGGCTCCGAGAAAGTGCGTTCTGGGTGGAGGCTGCTCTGTTCCTTTCCTGCAGCCACGGCGCCCAAGGGTGGCATGGGGAGATGTGCTAACCATGGACCCTTTTCCCCCTTTTGAGGGCCCAAAAGACTGCTGTAGGAAGGTGAGCCGGCTATAATAAAGAATTACTTCAAGCTTGCAGTCATCAGGTCTAGCTCAGGGCTGCCCCAAATAGCCAGATAATGGAAGCCAAATGTCTGTATGGATGGTGTGGCTCCTGGGGCCCAGCCCTCGGGGCAGTCACACATGGAGCTCAGGGACTGAGACTTCTGAGTCTCCTTTTCCATCCCCACTGATGTCCAGGACCGGTAGGCCCTCGGGCTGGGGAATGCTCAGAGGCCCCCACTGCTACCAGTTCCAGTCTGTATGACTCAGTAAGGCCTGGGAGATATGAAAGAGAAGCTTTTTTTTGGTCTCAGACTCCCAGAGCCCTGGGCTCACAGGTGCGCACTGCCAGGCTGGCTCAAAATGCTGCTCAGATCCAGGGCTTCGTGTGACCGGCGCAGCCCCCCAATGAGACAGGATGGGCTCTTGTGGGCGACAGTTAACTGCTGCTTTATTTACGCGGGCTCTGGTTTATATATTTGGCCGTGACCAATCGCAGGCTGCCATGAGGAAGCAGGGCGGGAATGGGACGCAGGCTCTGGCTACTATATCCAGCTGTGGCCAATCAGCAGTTGCCACAGAGTCGGCACGGGGCGAATACGGAGTGAGCACGAGGTGCGCACGGGGGTGGCTAATTTAGAGAGGGACGTAGCGCATTGCGGAAGCTGGTGTGGTCCTTAGTCCCGGGTGGGGTATGGTATGTTGAGCGCCTGCGCCCAACATTTGTGGAGAAGCACATGATGTCCCAGGGAGGGGTAGGAAGGCCCAGGGGTTTGGCTCAGCCTGGCTTTGAACCTAGAGATGGCATCTCTAGGCTTAGGCTGAGCCCATGAGGGGAGTCTGGTACTGACTGGTCCCTTGTCCCTGAACCATCTGCCAGCTATGTTCCTGTGCCCCTTCCCAGGGAGTACCCCCTGGCCCTGCACTAAGGCTGGTCACATGCCGCTGAGCCTGCACAGGGGACGAGGGCAGCCATGCAGCACAGCTGTGTGGGCCACAGGCTAAACCCCGCTAAACCCCGAGGGAGCGCGGCACCCAGATTTGGGCAGGCTGGGTGCCCTCCAGGCTGTCCTGCTCAGCGAAGTCCTGTTGTGTGTCCTACTTCCTCAAGGGCCCATGGAGACCTTCTTCTAGGGATGCTGGTGAGCACAGTCCTCCTTGGCTGGGGGCGCTGTCCCCAAGCCCAGCCAATCACAAACCTCTTAGCATTCCCTGGGTGTCCTTTGCAGCTTCCAGAAAGAGGAACTCTCTCTCTCTCTCTCCCCCAGGGTGCTTCCCTTGACTTCTCTAGAGGCCCACCCTGCTTCCTGTGGCCTCAGAGCTGCCCTCTAACTCAGGGGTCAATGTGTCACTTAGTGGCTGTGTGACCTTGAGCAAGGTATTTCATCTCTCTGGACCTCATTTGCCTTACTTAAAAATAATGGATATAATGATTATCTTTAAGGATCACGTGGGGGTCAAATAAGATCCTTCAGGGGTCACTGAGCACCTCAAGCATTTAATGAGCAGGTGGTATGACGTCATTATCTGGGTGTCCTCCTGGAGCGCCGTTCTCCATTCTCCTAAATCCAGACTTGTCTGCTTCCTGTCTGCCCGTCAGTCCACACTGGGGTCTGAGCAGGTCCTGCTCCTAAGCAAGGAGTTGATGGGGCGTAGAGCTGAGCATTCTGTGTTCCTACTAAGCTAGGAGGCCTTCAGGACCTGCCACTCTCCCTTTGGCCACCATTCATACGCTTAATCCAAGCAGGTTCCTAGAGTCAGTAATGGAGTAGAGGAAACCAAAGCCAGGAAACGGAGAGGATGAGGGAGTCACTCAAAGCCACCCGGGAGAACAGACAGCCGGTGGGAGAGCCCAGCCGACCTCCTCCGTGCAGCTGTCCTCCCCTCCTGCCTCAACGGCCCTCATTTCTCCAGAAGCCTCACCAGAGCTTTCCTGTTCACAGAAAGCAGCAAACAAAGCTCTGAGCCAGCCCCCTGGGCCCGAAGCTCCCGGGCCGGCGACCCACAGGCTGCCAGAGACGTTACCGGAGCTGATGATTCAACTTCCTGCCTTCTGAGAGCTCCCAGACCACAGAGGTTTTCTTGCTGGGAGGACGGGCCACCTCCCTGCAGACGTCCAGCCACCACGGGACCCGGCCAGCTACAGACAGCAAGGGCCAGGCAGTGCACAGGCAGACCAGGGGCTCACCCTGGGGTGCCAGGAGGCTGGCCCTCAAGTCGGTCCCACTTTGGGTTAACGCTGACCACATAGGGTGCCCCATGACTGACTGGTCAGCAGCTGTCCCAGTTTTAGCACCCCAAATCCTATATCCCAGGAAATGCTGGCCACTGTGTTACCACCCATAGCATGATTTTCTGCCTCAATGATTTTAGGGGTCTGAGCCCCAGGGCAGAACATTCTAGAATCTGAAATTGTTGCACCACAGCCCAAGGGGCAGACCTGGCTTTCTGCCTGTTTTTGTACAACTCCTGACCTAAGAATAGTCATCTCATTTTTAATGGATGAAGACAAACTTAAGGAAGAATAATACTTCATGACATGTAAAAATTACATGAAATTCAAATTTCAGTGTGCATAAATAAAGGAACGCAGCCACGCTCGCCCATTTGCATATTGTCTCCAGCTGCTTCTGCTCCAAGGCAGAGCCGCCTCGCTGCAGCACAAGCCTCAGGGACCAAGCGCCGTGGAGCCAACACGGTTTCCTAGCTGACCCTTGGCAGTAACAGTTTGCCAATCTTCATGCGCCAGGCGGGCGAAGGGTGATGTGTGTGGGTGGGCAGGGATGTGTCTTGGAGAAACTCAGATTAGAGGAAGGAGACAGAGCTGAGAGCAGTGGGTGTGATTCCACAGCACGTAGCCAAGATTCAGCATATTCGCTGCATGTGAGGCAGGAAGGTGGTGCTGAGTTCTTTGAAGACTCAATTTTGCCCATCTGTACAGTGGGGTGATGGAGAAGTTAGACACCATCTGCTTTTCTCTGGCTCCACAGTTTAGTCTTCAAGCTGATACTCTCAAGTCAGCCATGTGCCAGAGACTGCTGTATGACCCAGGGCTAGTCCCATGCACCCTGAGCCTGACCCAAGGTTTCTGCAGCCCACAGAGTGGGTGCCTCGCTGGTTTTGAGGCAAACCCAGATCTTGCTGCCAGCCCCGGAAGCTCCGTCCCATCCAGACATTGACCAAGGGCCCAGCAGCACCCACTGTGTGGGGGGTACTCTGAGGCCTCCCAGCACTGGGTGCTCAGTGCCTTCCTGTCGGGGGCCGAGCTTTGGGCTGGGAAGCTCTTCCTCAGAGCAGGGGCAGGCACCTGTGAGCCCCACCGGAAGCTCGTCCAGGGCCCAGCCACGCCCTGGCTGTCCTCAAGCAGAGCCACCGACCTCCTGAGAGGCAGGCAGCAAGAGAGACTGGTGAGCATGGGCCGGTGCCACGCGTAATGTGGGTCCCAGTCCAGCCCCTTGCCCATGGCTGCCCTCTCCTCTCTTCCCCCGGGCTCCGAGGAGGTGAATGTGAGCAGCGGGACTCTCAGAAGGCTTGGGCAGCTGGCCTGGGCCCACCTGCAGTGTGCTCTGGTAAGAGTCCCCTCAGCCTGCTCGGGCAGCGCCAGCCCTCCAAGGGCCTTCTGGGTGTGCTCTGATAGCCTCCGCTTGGTGTTGGGGGACATTATTCCTCTTAACTCTGTCCCCACAACTCTGGTGGCTGACATCCAATTTGAGGACTTTAGACAACCCAGGTCATGAAGGGTCAGCAGACGCTGCTGCCGACAGAATGGATCTGTTTCTGGATCCTCCTGAGACTTCCTACCTGCGATAAGCTGAGTCAGAGGAAACATTTATTTATTTTTGGTGCTGGGTATTTAAATTCAGATACACTGTACCACTGAGCTATGTCTGCAGTCCATTTTATTTTATTTTACTTTATTTTGAGACAGGCTCTCACTAGGTTGTCCAGGCTGACCTCAAACTTGGAATCTTTCTGCCTCAGCCTCCCAAGTAGCTGGGATTATAAGCATACACAACCACATCTACTAATTTTTTTTTTTTTTGTACTGGGGATCAAACTCACAATCTGGAGTTTGCCAAGCAGGCCCTTATGCCACTGAGCTAAATCCCTGGCCCCACCAGTAATCATTTTTAAGTAAACTTTTTAATTAAGGTATAGCTCCAAAAAGTGCACAAATGCCAGGCATGGTGGTGTACTTCTGTAATCCCAGAACTTGGGAGGCTGAGGCAGGAGGATTGCTGGGGGTTCGAGGCCAGCCTGGGCTAAGTGAGACTTTGTCTCAAAAAAAAAAAAAAAAAAAAAAAGCGCACAAATCCTAAGCGCACGGACAGCTCCTGTGGTCACACCTGTGTGACCATCACTTGTGTGATTAAAACAGAGCATCTCCTCCCGGGAGCCACCATCTTGGACCCTCTCCAAGTCCCTGTCCCAGGGGGGCCTCTATCACTGTAGATTAATTCTGCCTATTTTTGAGTTTCATGTCAGTGGAATCTTATTTATTTATTTACTGTGGGGTTTTTTGTTTGTTTGTTTGTTTCGTTTTGCTTTGTTTTGAGACAGACTGGCCTTGAACCTACCATATAGCCCCGGCTGGCCTCAAACTCATGGCAATCCTCCTGCCTCAACTTCCTGAGTATTGGGATTACAGGTGTGCGCCACCACACCCGGCCTGTCAGTGGAATCTTACAGTATGGGAAATTTTTATGTGAACCTTCTTTTGCTGAGTGACATTCACTCATGTTGTTAAGGATAAGGGCTGGGGGTGGGGGACATAGCTCAGTGATACAAGCACCTGCCTGACAAGCAGAAGGTTGTGAGTTTGATCCCCAGTACCTAAATAAATAAATGGGTAAGGACTGGGGATTACAGCTCAGCACCATAATGCCTGCCTGGCAAGCATTAGGCCCTGAGTTTGATTCCTGGTACTGGGCGGGGGGGGGGGGCATCAAAGTGATCAAGTAAATATAAAATGCGGTTTTTCTAGTCTGTTAAGGATAAAATATTGTGCTTGGTCTTATTGCTATATTCCATGTATGACTGTACTCCAATTTATTTATTCATGCCACTGTTGATAGAAATTTGGGTTATTTTCAGCTTTGGGTATTATGAACTGCTCATGTCTTTTGGGATGCATACATGTGCTTCCCTGCTGGAAATACACATTTCAGAATGGAACTGTTGGCTCAGAAGGTATATCCATGCTCTGATTTACCTTGGGTTGATTTTACTAAGCTACACGCCCAGCCCTTATTAAAATTTTATTTTAAGGTGAGGTCTCACTAAGCTGCCCAGAGCCTCAAACTTAGGATTTTCCTGCTTCAGCCTCCTGAGTAGCTGGTATCACAGGCATGCACCTCCATGCCTGTGTTTTTTAAAAGCAGCCTGAAGCCTTCGGTGATGTTTCTAGAATCCCTTACATTGGCAGTGAAAGGCAACATCTCCACCATTTCTCAGGCCACAGATAGTTGCCAAGCCAACGCCCAAGAGGAGTTCAGCAATGCTGGCCCGCAGCCCCCTGTGGGTGCCCTGGCTGGGTGGGGTGCTGAGGGCTGCCGAGTACATGTGCTACTGGCCCTCAGCCTGGAGGCCACAGAGGCCTTTTCTGGTGTCACTGCAGCCTCCAAGATCAAAATCCAAACCAGAACTGAAGTCGGAAAACAGGCCAGAGCATTTGAAGCCGAACCATTCTGGGAAGCCTGTGTCTCTCACTGTAGATGAGCATATGTGGGATCAGGCACCCCAACATGGCCACATGGTGCTGTGTGACAGGGGTGCCCTGTACCATGCAGCTGCCCCGCCAGTCCATGGGCTGACTCAGCTCCAGGCTGGTGGGCGTGGGGTGGGATGGTGGGGAAGGGGTGCATGTTGTCTCCAGAGCTTAGCAAGGAAGGGACCCATGTAGCTAGTCCTGTTCTGCGCTGCTTCTGATTCCTGGGGCCCTGATTTCCTCACACCATCTACACTACAAGTAGGGCTTCCCAGCAGTGGCCCCAGGACTTTAACCTCTAGAACTGACAGGGGAGGGGGTGCTGAAAACTCCTCCTGTACCTTCCTTGGGCAACAGCGGATTCTCCTGAGGTAGGTGGCACTTCTGGTCCATTTGCAGGTGGACAATGACACCAGGCCGCTGGAGGAGAAGTGAAGGCAGTTCCCCAGCTCCTGGGCTCTGGATCACAGCGAGCCCTTTGTTTAAGGGGCCCTGGGCCGGGATGGCCGGGGTCCCCACAGTCAGTATTGTCCTGAAGCTGGGATAGGCTTGTAAAAAAGAAAAATTAGATTTTTCAAGTCTACAATGGAAAACAAGTTACTTATCTACATGATCAGGTTGTTTCCAGACCTCCATCCTGACTGGCTTCCCTACTTATTCCTGGGATTTGGTGAGGTCAGGGAACGGGAGCAAATTCCTCCCATTTGGAGACCAGGTCTGTAGATTATTATTGAATAACACTACTGTTGGCCAGTTGACCCCATCCTCTGTATTCACATCTGTAAAATGGGACCCCACTTAGCACAGGACTCTAAAGAACTACTGCCCCAGAGAAAAGGCCGTCTGATGATTTCACTGTGAATGGCTCTAAGGTGTTGGCTCTAGGCTGGCACTTTGTCAGTGTGTGGAAGAGAATCGATTAGAACTATTAGCGGCAAGGGACAGAAAAGTCACTTGCTTGGCTTGTGGAGAAGGCTGGTTGGTTTATATAACAGAAATGTCAGAGGCTTCCAGTACAGCATGATGCCATGTCTCAAAAATGTCATCAGGGCCAGGTCATTCTTCATTTCTACTTTCTTCGGGATTGGCTCTGTTCTCAGACTCTGGTGGTAAGAAGCTGCCTGCAACCCCAGCATGACAACGTCACTTTGCCAAGCCCAAGTGACAGGGGACATCCTTCTCTGACCACATGAATAACTGGCATTAGCTCTGACGGATCTGGTGGTTTGGCATGGGCTCCATGGGTATCCCCAAACCAAGCACTCTGAAGCTGGGCCTGGTACGTAAGGCCCCGTGCAGCAGTGACAGGCCAGGTTTGCTCCCTCAGGGGAATTAACTCCACCTGAAATGCAAGTACCGGACTCAGTAAGGGGTGGGAACACAGCTCAGGGGTACAGCCCTTGCCTGATATGCACAAAGCCCCAAGCTTAGTCCCCTTACTGCAAAAGAAAAAAATGGTAATGAAAATTGGGGTGCTTGGCAGATGAGGGAAATGGATGCTCAGCAGAGAAACCAGAGTGGACAGGGACAGTGTGGGTAAACAGGATCCTGCTGTCCGAGTGTATATAAGACACCTGTGCACCAACATGCAGCCCCAGGATGTGCCGACCTTGAGAGACACTGCCCGACTCCAAGGATATATTCTGGGTTTTCCGAGAGGCCCCCAAACATTGTCCATTCCTTGGGGACCTGATGATTCCTACTTTGTCACCACACAGAAACCTGGGCGCCCTGAGTCTTAGAGGTTGTAACCCCGTGTGGAAAGGGGTCGTCCACTTGGGCTTCCTTACTCCCTGAGTGTACCGAGTTTCTTGTGGGGCAGGGAGCCTGGCTTCCTCCTCTCTCTACATTTGCAGAAATATTTGTAGCCTGAACATGAACAAGCTTTGGCAGG